AAAAAAAAAAAAAAAAAAAAAAAAAAAAAAAAAAGCAAATGTGAAAATAAAACAAAGCACATGGGGTGAGGCACCAGTGGTCTCCTCAGTGAAGCAGGTGCATGTAGCAGGAAGGGCAGCAGCTTTGGGGAGTTGGTGTTGCAGACGAGCCTGAAGCGGCTGCTGGTCCTCTGGTACTTAACTTTCCTGCTCTTTGGGTTGAGGTGTCAGGGTCTCTGTTGCATGGCAGGATGAGAAGGATGATCGGGGTCCCTGCAGATGCCACCTTGTGGCTCTGCCCACAGGCCCTCGTGCTCACGTGGGTCACTACAGGTCGTCGATATGCTCCTGTGGGTGTGGACCTCGCCTTGTCTGGAAGCATCCCCTCCGTGGGTGTTCAGGTTCTGTGTCTGCTCACCTGGCGCTCGCTCTGTAGGTCAGAGCATCCCTGTCTCACCCTGTCTCCTCCTCAGGCGTGGTTGAAGGATTCAAGGTGGAGAAAGTGGATCTGCAGGAGGCGCTGGGTCGGAAGGAGGAGTCTGAGCAGCAGCTCATCTTGGAGCTGGATCACCTGAGGCAGCAGCTCCAGCAGGCGGCCCTGGAGCAGGCAGCACTGAAGGAGGAATATTCTGCCCTTTGGAGCCAAAAAGAAGCCTCTGCCGTGGAAGCGAAAGAGAGAGAAGCCGGTAAGGAATATTGATTCTGGTGGCAGCATCTGATCCGCGCGTTCCATGGAAGCTTGACACTTCTGGAGGGTAAAACTGGAAAATGAGAACCTGTGTGTGTGTGGCTTTCTGTGTAGAACGCTGGGCTTTGGGACGGCTGTGCTGGATGAAGCAGACCATCCGCTTGTACTGCTGCTGTGGAGAAGGCGAGCCATCCTGGAGNGCTGGATGAAGCAGACCATCCGCTTGTACTGCTGCTGTGGAGAAGGCGAGCCATCCTGGAGAGCATCGCTGCAGAGGGGTCCTGTGCCTCTGAGGGGCAGAAAGCACCCCTAAGAAGCAGCGGGTTCCTGAGAGCACCACTGACCTGCTGGACAGATAGCTGGTGCCCTGAAAAATGAGAGCTCCTTTAAAATCTTGCTTAAAGTAACCAAGTGCTTAACATTAACTGTATTTAGGAAAACAGTTTTTTTTTTTAAAAAGTAGTTCATATATTTTCATATTTTTACATATTTTAGTCTTACAAATACTTAAAATGAAAATGGTCAAAACATAAGAACCTTAAAATGTCCAGTTTGCAGGTCACTGTGCTCAGTGGCAGATTTGTTAGAAGGGTTCTGTGGTGGAGTGAAGGCCTTACCCAGGACGAGTGTGGCCCCCAGGCTCCCGACCCTGCTCTCCTGTGCCCGCCCAAGGGACGCCTCATAAGCACTTGTGGAATCAGTCATGGGTGACCAGTGGGGGGGGCATTCCAGAAGGGGGGCCTCGACCCCACCCAGATGGTGTCCTTTCTGAGTATGCTCTGGGTGAGGACTGCTATGATAACTGATTCAGAAAAATCTAATTTTCTTTTCTCAGCATTATTTTTAACTTTTCTGTTTAAAAAACAACCACCTTTTGGTCTTGTTAGTCATGTTGCTTTTCTTTGTCCTGGGTTCTGTGGAGCTGGACCCTTCTCGTCATTACCTCCTGCCTCCTCAGTCTGCGTGCTTCTGTAGGCTGGGCCCTTGTTCCTGCATTTGTGCCTCTTCTGAAGCACACGGTGCCTGTGTCTTTTGATCTGTGGATCTTTTGTGACATTCAGGCCCAACAGGCGTGTAGTTTATTTAACCCAAGGAATGTGTTGAGGTGTAGCTCCTCTCTCCATCCATGTGGGGTGTTTTAAGCTCTCGACCTGTCATTACCTGCAGACATGGCCTTCATCTTGCTCATCTTTCTTTCCATCTCTGTGATGTGCTGTGTCCTGTCTCCATGCTCCGATGTGAGTTTCTTTTTTTTTTTT